GGCCGGCGGGCCCGGCTTCCCCTCCTTCGGGGGTGGCAGCGGTGCCAGGCCCTCCTTGAGGAGCTCCACAAAGCCAGGGGTCCCCCCGTCGCCCACAAAGCCCAGGGCCCCCGGCCCCTCCGGGGGGAAGTAGGGCAGGACGTACTGCAGCCCCCCGGGCCCCGGCTGGTAGTGGGGGTCCGGCGGGGGTGGGCCTGGAGTCTTGAGGTAAGATTGGGGCTCCAGTAGGTAGCCGTTAGGCACGGCGGGACCCCCAGCCACTGCCAACCGGTACAGGGGGGCTTGGCCAAAATCGGGGGTGGCCCACTCGATCCGGTAGATGCGGGGGTCGAAGAAACAGCCGCAGGGCGCCATCTGGAAGCCTGTGGGGGTGGCGGGGAGGGCGGCTGAGCCCCAATGTCCTCAGCACCCCAGCCTGTGCACCTGGGCCCCGATGGCCGCTCTGGGGCCAGGCCTTGTCTTTGGGGTGCCTTTGGGAGACGGGCTATCTCTGCAGGGCACTTGGGGGGACAGTAGCCCTGAGCTTTGTCCTCAGGGACGGGCCTCTAGGGCCCCCAGCCCAGGCAGGATGGGGGTGCCGTACCTGCGGGGGGCCCTGGAAACACGTCCTTCTCTGGATTCGGGGGCTGACACGGCAGGTTGGAAGAAGCTGCAGACAAAGGAGCCAGCAGGTGGGGTGCTGAGCCCCCCAGGCTCGGCCCTGCATGACCCCCCGCCTGCCACACCCCTTTCTTACCCACAGCAGGCAGAGGCTCAGGCTGGGCCCCCAGCGCCTCCGTGCTGCTCAGGCCCCGGGAGCTGAAGCCCTCCTGAGGAGCAGCAGGAGGGTAGAAGGGTTTGGGGCGCTGCATGGGGGGCAGCGCTGGCCCCCCGCAGGCCTGGGGGCGGCAGGTGGGAGCAGAGACGGCCCACCTAGAGAACGGACAGAGTCCTGCTGGGTTCTGTTTCCCTGTTGCTCTGGGCAGCGGGTTCCAGAGCTGGGCCAGCCGCTCGTGGGGTTCCGGAGTGGGGGTGGGCAGGAGACCAAGGGGGCCAGGCCCAGCAGGGTGTCCCAACAGCTCACAGGCTGCCACCTCCAGGGAGGGCACTGGGCTCCACAGCCCCACCACCCCAGTCCCCACGGCCCTGGGGGTGTCCCGGGGTGACAGGGAGGGTGGGCTGTGGTGACCAGTGAGTCACACTTGCTCCAGAAGGATCCCAGAGGGCCCAGGAGTTGAAGGCGTCACAGTGAGACCACAAGAAAGGCCACAATTAAAAGAATAGAATTTATTGTCCCCTGCGTGCGTCCGTGGAGGCGCGGGCGGCTATTTGTAGGCGTTGGCCTTGTGCTTCGGCAAGAAGACGAAGTTGGGCGGCACGGGGCCCAGCAGCATCTCGCTGTGGGAGATAACGCGGGGGTCAGGCTGGGACTCCACATCCCGTCCTGTCCCTTCCTGTCCTGTCCCCTCCCCCCCACCCCCCGTCAGTCCATACCTGATGCGGATCCAGTCGGCCGCCTGCTGGCTGGCCATGAGGGTCTCCAGGTAATCACGGCCCATATAGTAGGGTGGCCGCTCGTTGATCTTTTGGGGGAGCCGCTCCAGCAGGCCCACGGGCACATACCTGCAAGGGACTGTGTGAGGCTGCTGCCACCCGCGTCCACCCCCGCTGCCCGCCACCCGTTGACCTGGCCCATGCCCCACCTGCACAGGAAGGACAGCCACTCGAGCAGGAAGCGGCGTGTCTTCTCCACGCCCTGCGTGTCTGAGCCCCAGTGCTCCAGGCCGTAGTGTGTGAAGTCCCGCAGGATGTCCAGACGCTCAGACGACGAGATGTCCCAGTGCCGCTGCTCCTTGATCTCCGTGAACAGCCAGGGCTTCAGCAGGGCGCCACTGTGGGACAGGGGGCGGCTGGGACCGAGTGCCACGCCACCAGGCTGGGGCGGAGGCGCGGGGTCCCCTCAAAGCAGAGACTTCTTTTGGTCTGGGGTTTGTTGAGACCCCGTCATGGTATGCCACAAGGCCTATGCAGAACTCACGATCCTCAGCCTTGGTCACATCTGGGGCCAGGGCACGAAGCCAAGGTGCCAACCACCCCACCCCCCCCGCCCGGGCCCTGAGCTCAGGCCACCCGGCTCACCGGGCGATCATGATCCCCGCGACGCCAGTCTCCATGGCGCGGTTGGCATCCTCGTAGGACAAGATGTCGCCATTTCCTGAAGGGACAGAGATGGGGTCACAGGAATGGCAGGCACGGGGCCCAGCTATGTGAACATCCCTGGAGGGACAAAGCGGGAGCTTCAGGGGACACTTACCAAACAGGGGCATGGGGCTGGCCACCTTGGCGCACTGCTCGATGTACTGCCAGTCGGCCAGCTTGGTGTAGCGCTGCTCCCGCGAGCGGCCATGGAGCTGGGGGTGAAGCGGTGCAGCGGGGACGGAAGCAAAGACAGAGGCGCAGAGAGAGGGGGGCCAGGAGGGACGGGCTGAGAGGGGACAGGCAGGAGGGAGGGCGGGGAGGGAGGGCGGGGACAGGCGGGGAGCAGTGGCAGGAGAGATGCTGTTAGGAAGGGCGGCCGGACACCCCCTCCCGCACCCATGGGCCCGGCGGCCGCACCCCAAGCCCCACCGTGACCAGCGAGACGCCCCAGTCCCGCATCTCGGGCAGCAGCGAGTGCGCCAGGCTCACGCGCTCCTGGACGCCGGTGCGGATCTTCACGGTGAGCGGCACGTCTAGCACCTGCAGGACACAGGGGTGCATGGCAGAGCATGGCGGGGTGCATGGCGGGGTGGGGGCGGGGAGAGGCTGAGGGGCGAGGGCGGCGTGGCTACCTGGTTCATGCCTCGGACAATCTGCTGGAACTTGGCCGAGCGGTTCATGAGCGCGCACCCGCCACCCTGGGGAGACAGAGCGTGGTGGGCCCCCCACAATCTCACACACACCCCAACACCAGCTGGATGGGAAACTGAGTCCTTGCTACCTTCTTGTACACAAGGTCAATGGGGCAGCCCACGTTGATGTCCACGAAGTCCACGTCCACGGTGCGGCTCAGGAGCTCGGCGCATTTGGTCATGGTGTCGGGGAAGGCGCCCTCCACCTGCGGCGGGGGCACTAAGTGGGCACAGTGACCGCAGGCCCACCCTCACAGCCCACGAGGGACAGACAAGATGCAGGGGGCCCCGCTCCCAGGATGGTTGCTGACCTGCACCCCAAAGATGTCCTCGCACGCGTGGCGCTTGAGCAGGGCCCACTCGGACATCTGGCCCTGCAGCAGGTTAGTGCACACAGCCATCTCCCCGCACGTCACGTCGGCCCCGAAGCGCTTGCACACACGCCGGAAGGGCAGGTTCCCACACTGGGCCGGACAGGACATGAGGGCTCCAAGGCTGCCCCGGGCCCCGGGCCCCACCCCCACCCGCAGCCGGGTCCTACCGTGGTGAGTGGAGCCAGGTACAGCTTGCCGCTGATGTTGAGCTGGCGGAGAAGGAAAGCGTGAGGCCCAGCCGAGCCCCCCAGGGCTTCCCCGCCCCGGCCCTGCCTTCAGCTGTGCTAACCCAACCCCTCATC